GAGAGAATCCAGAGCCGGTGGCAGTTCCACAGCATCGGTAACCCCTTTTTTATGGGAAAAGCTCATACTTATGTCATTTAAATAAGTTTTCTGAGCCATGAAGGTGCATATTTACCTGGAAGTGCCTCCAGTCGTTGTCAGATGTTTGTTTTTGTACTTTTATAACCTTGAACGAGTAGATAAAAGCCTCGTGTTGTTGACTGACAAATAATTGTCTTCCAGGGCTAATCCTCAAGAAGCTGTTGCACACTGGGAATTCCCTAAAGGTACAACTCTTATCCTTTAACCCAACTCCTCTCTGACCTCCTGAACTGGATTATCTGCCCAAGTTTAACAGAAAACTGTTGTTTTTCCTCCAGATCCGCCGTGAGGGCGTCCGCTTGTTCCTGCTGTGGATGCAGGCGCTGCAGAGCAACGCGGAGCGGGAGCAGCTCTGCATGTTTGCCTGTTTGATTCCCGGCTTCCCGGCGCCGCTGTGCCACGGGACCCCGCGCACGCTGGACACTCTGATCAACACGCCGCTGAGCCTGACCGAGAGTCAGTACAACAGACCGAGTCACACAACAAAACATGAGCTTATTTTAAAAAAATATATATATATATATTTTTATTATTTTTTAAAATTAATTAACAAATTTATTCATTTAATTTTTTTAATTTTAATTTAATTTTATGATTATTTTATTTTATTATTATTTTATTTATTTTATTTATTTTATTTATTTTATTAATTTTATTAATTTTATTTATTTCATTTATTTCATTTATTTCATTTATTTTATTTATTTTATTTATTTTTTTATTTTTTTTAGTTTTTTATAGATTTTTTGGCTCTAGTGGCCTTTAATGACAGTAGCTTGACAGGAAAGGGGGCAGAGATAGAGAGGGGGAGACCTGCGGGAAAGGGCCATGGGTCGAAATCGATATTATTTTTTAATTTTAATTTAATTTAATTTAATTTATTTATTTATTTATTTATTTGTTTTATTTATTTATTTATTTATTTTATTTTATTTTATTTTATTATTTATTATTTTATTTTTTTATTTAATACAAGAGCTTTAAATGTGATGATAACCATCCTTTTCCCTCCCTATAGCTCAGGTCACACCTGAGGAAATCACACCATTGGTTGCTCCCCAGTCAGGTGACAAAAACCAGGAAGACCTCACCGCTTACTTCCTAGAAGCTCTGCTGAAATATATGGTAAACCAGGTATTATCATCTTTCTTTACTAACACGGCAAATCAAAATGTGGCTCTGCTTTACTAATAACACGGAAGCTGAAGATGGGAGAACAGGAAAAGGTGCATTCAGATACTGGATTCATGGAAATACTCGTCCTCTTTGGGAACTTTTGGCTTTATTCTGTGTGCATTTTGCTCGTTGCTTCACACACTGATGACGTTCTTCCCTGACAACAATGGCGCTCTTCTCCTCTGGATCCGCTTTCGTGTGAAGCGTTCTTCCTCCATAAGTCAATCTCTCTCTCTCTCTCTGCCCGTTTGTTTTGTGTCCACCAGGCAAAGTCTTTGGAGTGGCGGTGTAAAGAGAACCACGAGCGGGGCTTCAGCTTCCTCTTCGGCCACTTCAGGAAGTTTTACCTCCCTCACATATTCCCCAACTTCGCCATGGAGACGAGCCTCTACAGCCCCATGTTAGGTCAGAATGGGATAATGTCATAAGGGAGCTGTTTCAGGCAGCAAACCCGGGGCGAGCGGTTTATCCACTCTGAGTTTTTAATGCAGATGTGCCACCGATGCGTCCGAAGCCGTACTACAGCGTGGTGCGCAGAGAGCAGGACGGGGGGGAGACGCTGTACTGCACCAAGGAGAGCTTCCTCCAGGCCAGAGTCATCTTCATCCGCTGGCTGGTTTCCTTCTGGCTGGAGCCAAAACCCAACACCCAGACACACATCCCGGGCACCGAAGGAGAGAGCATCCCAAAGAACATACAGGTGCATTTAGCCATATGAGTTCCTTTATTTTTTCCCAATAAACGCCTCCAGATAAGTAATTTTAGTTAGCAAATACAGCAGAACCTCTAGATAAGGATCTAACTGGTTTCAGGAGCGACTTCTATGTTAAAATATTGGTATGTTGGTTCAAATCTTCCATCAGAATACTCTGTAATTCCTAGAATTTGTTCCAAAAACCTACGATAACTCCTTAATAAATACTGCAGATAATTACACATAGCAAGAAAACAAATGACTTCTAGAAGAGAGATGGAAAAAGAAATAAATGATAAAGAAATAATCAATAAAAAGGGTTTTTATTGGCCCTTTAGCTCAGAGACTGAAGAACGGAGGTAGAGGTGGAGACTGAGATACAGGACCAGCCCTAACTCACTCTGACTTTAGACAGGAACTTTACACCAACTTAGACTAATTATTTGTATTTAATTTTTATATTTTTAATATATTTTTCTATGACTTCGATGTGTGTATGTTGGAAAATTAGAGGTTCTGCTGTACAAATGTTAAATTTGTCGTTGATTTCTTCAGAAACACAAGTTATTTTATTAAATTTGTATATTTTATATACATTTTTCTATGACTTTGATGTCAAATTTACACATATTTGATAAAATTTCACTTTGCATGTTAGAAAACTCGTCTGTTTAGGCTTCATAAGTGGAGGTTCTGCTGTATATGTATAAAAAAGATATAAGATCATATCTAAAATCGTACTTTTCCCCCCCAAAGCGGGCGGCGGCCGGCCTGGCTGCTCGATCTGCAGGCAGCTCTGAGGACAGCGGTGGGGGGGGGGCGGTCGGACGTTCACCTGGAGGGAAGCGGCAGCTCGCTGGGGCCCTCCGGTGGCAGCCTGGGGATCTGCGGGGGCCCGGGGAACATCGGGGAACCCGAGCAGAGCCACTCCAACACCTCCACGCTGACGGAGCGAGAGCCCAGCTCCTCCTCGCTCTGCTCCATGGACGAGGAGCAGCTCACCGACATGGAGGTGGTGCGGAGGGTCCTGACCTGCTCCAGGACCAACGTCAACTTCATCACTGAGATCTTCAGACAGGTGGAGAACAAGCTGCTTCTTTTGTCTCATTAACTCATTGACTGCCAGCCATTTTCAGAACAGAGAGTCCCATACTGCCAGAGTTTTTTGAGCATTTTGACTGATTTGACTGAGCCACAGAATAGTTTGTGCTATGACTATGTAAACACCGAACACACCAAAAGAAAGAGTAGACTCTCTTCTTTCATCAGGAAAAAAAATGTGTTTCTACCTTATTCCGTTCTTCCTGGACTTGCGTCTCACCGGCGACATGTTCTCTCATAGCGAACCATTGCGTTTTCTTTTATTTGCCTACAGTCTATGCTCATCTCCCATCAAAAGTGGCACTGCCCCCTAGAGGGTCAATTTGTTACTACATACTCTGTCTGGAAGCCGATATTTACGGAAAAACTTTAGCCGATCGTCCCCCAAGCCACTCTCGTTGAAAAACATAAAAGACGTCTATAGACGACTTTGGCAGCCAATGAGTTAAGAAACTTTATTAGACACAGGCATTGTTTTTGCTCACAACAGAGATTTAACTGAGGTATTCCTTCTTAGGAAGTTGTTTGTCATGTTATTTACAGAAATGCATTTTATTAGTCTTAAATTAACATGATGTAATTTTATCCATTTGTGTGGTTTGAGCTGCTGTCTATTTGTTTAAAAATAATACAATTTCCTTTATTTGTGATTTCCCTTTCTAACAAATATCCACATATTTCATGCAACATATTTCGACTTCTATATCAGAAAATTTGTTGTGTGCTACAAGCAAAATAATTTAAGCCATCAAACAGAAACAAAAATCCAGGCTTTCTATAAAATACCTTTTGTCCACACAACCAACATTGATTAACTCTGTTTTTTCCAGCTTTTTTTATTTCACGAGTCCTCTCACAGACTTTTGATGATTCAGTAAATGAGTCACGGTTTTGTTTAGAGGAGTGAAAAAACTATGGGAGCCACAACCCTGGTATTTGTAAGAATTTGACCAGTCTTATGTAAGATTTAGTACCCCTCTAAACACTTGAACTATTTTATAATGCCAAACTTGACATGCTTTATTCTCAGTCTGTTATAATTCACAGGTTGCCGGGTCGTTAAAATAACTTTCCACTGTGCAGGCATTTCTTCTTCCCATGTGTGAGGCGGCTGCAATGCGAAAAGTGGTCCGTGTTTACCAGGAGTGGATCTCCATGGAGGAAAAACCCGTATTCATGAAGGAGCCAGAGGAAGGCCCCTATCCTATTCTGGCTGCCTCCAGTCTGGATGCTGCTTCTCATCTGGGAGACAAAGAAGTGGAGGTACTTTTTTTAATCCCTCATAATATTCACGTTAGCCGTGAGTGATTTAAATGACACACATCTTGTCTGTCTTTCCAGAGGATGAACAAAGAGATTGAGGGTGAATTGCTGGAATACAGCGTTCATGCTGGAGTTCAGACTACTCTGCAGGCACGAGTCCCACACAGCCTTTAAAAGCCACTCACTCACATATAAAGATCCCCGTTAAAGCTCTCTGTTCATCTAACTTTAATGCCGTTCACCAGGTGTTCATCACCCATTCGGCCAACGTTTTCCTCCTGGAACCCGCCAATGACATCAAAATCCTTTTGGAGGAGCATGTCGACATGTGCAAGCGAGTCCTGAACATCTACCGCAGCCTGGTCATGCACGAGACCATGGACCAGAAGACATGGTAAAAAAACAGTATTTTCCATAAAAAAAACACTTTTTCCTTCTTTTTTAGCCTATTTTTTCCCAAACTTTATTGCCAGTATATAACATACAGGCAGACATAACCACACATCAGCAAACCAAACCGTAAACAAAGAATAAATGAACTGTGAAAAAACAAAAAAAACAAAAAAACACCTTGATCGTGGATCACATAATATTTATAGATTACCTGGGCATATCTATCTTTCCATTATTGATTAACTTTCTACTCTAGATTCACAGGAGTCCATCTTTTTTTAGCCATTTTTAACAAGCGTGCACACATTGGTTTGTAGGGAGCAGATCTTACTGGTCCTTCTGAGGGTGACGGAGTCTGTAATGAAGCGGCCTCCATCCATTATGCCTCACGGGAAGAAGAACAACACGCTCTCGGGCCGACTGGCCGGGCCTATCTTTCAGGTACTGTACGTCTCTACTGCAAAGGCCTTTTTTTGTGTGTCTTCTATCTAACATGAACGGGTCTTTTTGTGAAATTTGAGCGGAAATTAGTGGACATTCATAGCAAAGTTGTTATTGTTCCTCAAAGAGTCGTTTTACATGATCAAGTTTCTACAAGGAGGTGGATCGTTTCCTAACGTCTTTGCCCTCCTTTCTTTCCATACAGACGCTGATAGTAGCCTGGATTAAAGCAAACCTAAACGTCTATATAAGCAGAGAGCTGTGGGATGACCTTCTCTCGGTCCTCTCCTCCCTGACCTGCTGGGAGGAGCTGGTCACCGAGTGGTCCCTCACCATGGAAACCCTCACAAAGGTATCTTCGCGTATTGGAGACACTGGAATAAATCCAGATTAGCTCTCTTGTAAATGCGGATGGGATGGTTCATTGAGGTGTTAAAACACTCTTCATTTCTTTGTTTTTTTTAGGTGTTGGCCAGGAACCTGTACACCGTTGATTTAAACGAGCTGCCTCTGGACAAACTCAGTGAGCAAAAACAGAAGAAACATAAAGGAAAAGGTGAGTCAGGGGTCTGAAACCTGCTCAGGTGGTGTCCAGTCTAGCCTCTTTAACCCTGCCAGCTGTTTGTAACAACCTCTGTCACCTGTATAATAATCTATTTAACTCATTGACTGCCAGCCATTTTCAGAACAGAGAGTCCCATACTGCCAGAGTTTTTTGAGCATTTTGACTGATTTTTCAAGAGCCACAGAATAGTTTGTGCTATGACTATGTAAACACCGAACACACCAAAAGAAAGAGTAGACTCTCTTCTTTCATCAGGAAAAAAAATGTGTTTCTACCTTATCCCGTTCTTCCTGGACTTGCGTCTCACCGGCGACATGTTCTCTCATAGAACCGTTAGCTTTTTCTTATTTGCCTACAGTCTATGCTCATCTCCCATCAAAAGTGGCACTGCCCCCTAGAGGGTCAATTTGTTACTACATAATCTGTCTAGAAGCCTGATATTTACGGACAAGCTTTAGCAGATCGTCCCCCAGCCACTCTTGTTGAAAAACATAAAAGACGTCTATAGACGTCTTTGGCAGCCAATGAGTTAAACATTTATCACCTCAGTCTGGCACGCACATGCTCTCATTATCTCTTATCTTCTCTGTGGACCAAAGTAATCTAACTGGAAATGTCTCCTCTCCAGCCACTGGGCTGGAGGGTCAGCGGCAGGTGGTGGACCGTTCCTTCTCCAAAGGCTGGAGCCGGGACCAGCCGGGTCAGGCGGCGGCCATGAGGCAGCGGAGCGCCACCACCGCCGGCTCTCCGGGGATCGAAAAAGCCAGGAGTATCGTTCGCCAGAAGACTGTCGGTAAGCGCCGTCTGCCCCCTTTTTACTCACAATGTTTAACATACCTCTGGCCAACATCGATCACAAGGTGTAGCTGGTTTGATTCCCCTGGGTGTTCCTCGTTTTCCATGACTTTTCTTTAGTTCCAAGCTAGTTGTATGGTTACTCAGACTTATTTTAAATAGATGGCAGGCGGCTGCTGCTTAGGCTGTTTAAGCAGTGTCCCATACAGTGATGGAAACATAGGAGGTGGATATCCATCTGTGTGCATGTTAATATTTATTCAAGCAGGCTGAATAGTTGGAAATGTGTCTTTTTTTCTGTTAATACTGGAAAAATCTCTTCACTAATGATGCTCACATCATATGTCTTACATAAAAACCTTGAGAATGTGTCAAATGGTTGATGCATAATGTGTGAAATTCAGCTTCTCTTTTAAAGATATGACTGATCATAGGTTCTCCAGGCTTTCTTAAGGTTTTACTAGGCTTTTTGGACATTTGGCTGCTTTATAATGTGTTTTAATCCAGTCTTTAGAATGGAATGTTGTTTTTGCTTGTTTGGTCAGCCAGTCAAAGCCAATCCATGAATCAGTCAGGCAGGAAAAGTCCCCAAACTCAAGACTTGAACCAGCTTTGTTTACACAGAACAGACTATTTAGGAATGAAGCAGTTTAAACTGGATCTTTAGCATCTTTCTGACAGCAGCCTGTCAAAAAGACATTACCTTCTCTTTAGTTAGGTGAAAAATGCTTTTTTCTGCTGAGTCCTGAGACTCCTTAAAGAAACAATATTTCCTCATATTTTCTGTGATATAAAAACTGATAGGTGTTTTTTCTCGATACGTCTGTGGGGCTGCTTTGTTTGTCGTGCGTTCTGTCTGTGTATTTACAATTCAGACTCCAACTTGTCTGAATCTTGGAGTTGTCACCAGCTCAAGTGTCTGAAGCCCCTCACAGTCCTCCACTTTCCCCGTCTCACATCCAGCTTTTGCTTTGTTAAACCTCCTCACTAATTTCTTCTCTCTCAGGCAAACTTTGTTTATATGATCTCTTTTTATCCAAAACAATTTTTCTCAACTCCCAGTTAAATGACTTTTTTCCTCCATTTTTTTTTGTCTGTCCACCACAATTCTTTCTTCTATTACTTCTTCTCTCCTTTAACTCCTCCATCTTCCCCCACATATACGCCTCACTCCCCTCTCAAACCCATTTCTTTTGCTTAATTTTCTCTTTCTCTTTCATTCCGCACTCTTCCTCGTTGTCTCTTCTTTCTCTTCCGACTTCCTCAGCCCTGCGTAGCTGCTCTACGGGGGACTCTCTGCTGTCCTCCGCCTTTATCCGCAGTGCTAAGAGTGCTCCTGCTCTGGCTCCGCCTCTTCCTGTCCTCCTCCACCACCACCACCCTTTTCTGCCCCCCCTTGCTGACCATCTGGCAGGTACACCTTCTTTGCACCACCTGTCTGCCTGCTGCCCGTCTGCTGGAAGCCGTAGTTTTTCCTACACACCTGTCAGAGACCAAGAGTTTACCTGTGGTGGTGTTTTCTTCTGTAGAGAGTTTACTTGTCGTGGTGTTTTTCGTCTGTTCTTCTGCACGTTCTCCCTCAGGAGCTGTGGAGCTCCTCTCCAATGCAGCTGGGACAATCATTACTGAGATGCTACTCTATTTTTATCAGCTGGATGATCAAATCTTTTGTTTTCCAGCTTTATGAAACTTCGAAAGTACATAAGAAAATGTTTTCCCTTATGGGGCATTCACAATAATCATAATCATAACGCAACACAAACTTAGTTGAACGGTGTAAAACCCTAAATGAGTAAAATACTAAGAATCCGATCAACATTTAACCCTTTAAAGCCTGATCCAAGAAAAATAGGAAGAATATTGGATTTTTAGTCTGAAGTCTTTCTTTGGCCCTTCAACAAAATATGAAAAAATAAAAAAACAGAATTTTTAAAAATCAAATTAGCGTGCAATAAGTCAGAAATGTATGTTGGTGTAGTCTTCTACTGGCTGTTATCAGGTATATCTGAATGTGTACAACAGGGGTTTGAGCAAAGCTTTTACCACTGAATGATGCAAAAAGTCTCAGATCCAAAAGACTTCAGAAACCGTATCAAATACGACACATTTGGCATTATAGTGTTAAGCTGATTAAGTCGATGTATTACTCTTCTGTTTGCCAGTCAGTGGACAAATCAGATAAAGTTATCTCTGTGATATGTACTTTTTAAATTATACACCAAGCCTTGTTTACATCCAGCTAACAGGCACAGTGTTTGATGGATAAAAAGGACAGCAGTTCATTTTTTGTTTTGTTTTACGCATTTAAAACGTAGATATTAATGTGATATAACATTTAAGGATTTAAGTGGCTTTAAACAAAATGATAAAGTATGTTCAGGCATGTGTGTAGCTGTAATGTTAGAGAGGAGTAAATCGCCATGGTGAATGTTTGGTGGAGTTGGGTGTCCTATTTAGAGGAAGATTAACCTCCCTGCATTGAGCCTCTTTTACAGTTAACAAAATACAAATCGATGTCATGTTGTCGAGTTTGAAATACATGACATGAAATAGCACGGAAATGTTTGAATTGTTTTGATGCGACTGTTAGATGGACTTTGATTTGATCTCTGTTTTCTTCTCTTTGTGCTTGTTTCTGGATCTTGTTTTCTGGATCTTTATTTATTTGCCTGCTCACACGCATGACTGTTCCACTTCATTAACAAAACCCACGTTTGTTCATCACCAGGATTTATTTATTCATTTATTTATTAACGCTTCTTTCTGCACTCGTTTTTGTGAAATTCATTCAATAGTCGTGTGATGTTCTTGTTGTTGCTGCACTTGACTCCTCATCATCTTTTTGCAAGTAACTTTTGATCATTTCAGCATTTTATTGTGTTATATTAGTGTTAGTTTTTGCTCTCTTCTACGAGTGATCCTACTTCTGTATAAGTTGCCCTTTGTTAACTCTATGCTCTCAAACATCCTCCAGCCCTAAAAGCTGAAGGATGGTGGCCCTCGAGGACCAGTTTTGGTGGTCCCTGCTTTAGAGGGTGGTTTTTGTTAGCTGGCCACTTGGACCAAATTGTCACACCTACAGAGGGGGAAATAAGTATTTGACCCCTTGCTGATTTTCCAGGTTTGCCCACTTACGAAGAATGCTTATTTTTTTACTCGTCAGATGGTTATCAATTTTTATGAATTCATATGATGTGATTTTCTGGAATCTTCTTTTGGATTCTGTCTTTCACTTTTAGAATATACATATGATTAAAGTTATAGATCGTTGCATTCTTTGTAAGTGGGCAAACCTGCAAAATCAGCAAGGGGTCAAATACTTATTTCCCCCACTGTATGTTGTTTTGTTGTTGATCTTCTCATTTATAACTAAGTCATCACCTGGGAAGATAAATATTTTAATCTTACATCACTCCTCTGCCTTCATGCTTCCTTCCCTCTGATTTCTAGACCTCGAGGACCCACCGATCTCGCTGACGACCCGCGGCTCCCGAATGCGCCACTCCTCCCAGAGCGACGAGGCCCCGCCCACTTCCTGCTCCGAGGTGTTTCAGGGCGTGGCCTGCGACCTGGACCCTCCGGCCCCGTCCTCCCTGGCGCGGAGCAGCAGCGCCTCCGACATCATGGAGCCTTTCATCGCAGAGCGGGTCAAAGGTGAAGACCCCCAGAGGGATCCCGTTCTGATCCCAAACCCCCCCCACCACCACCACCACCACCACCACCACTCCACAACTACCGCCAACAGTCACACAGCTCCACCGCTCTCACAGTCCCTCACCACCCCTTCCCCCACACCTTTTCCCTTTTCCAACGGGGTCGTTCCCACTCCCTCAGAGGTGCAGGATGATGGTGGCGTTCAGAGCCAGCCCTGGTTTCAGCTCAGCTCCGGGTGTAGCTCCGACTGGGTGAGCGACTGGGACTCGGCCTTCGCCGCGTCCACCGAAAAGCAGAGCGACCCGGAGGAGGTGGAAACGGGCGTGGAGGCAGAGGAGGATGATCTGTTCTCCTCTATTAGGGACTTCCTCACTCACAAAGGTGAGAGGAGGGAGGAGCAGGGAGAAAACGGCCCGGCTCTACCCACACCGGTGCAGACGGGGATAGCCAGGTCACAGTACGACCACGCGGGGCAGCTGGGAGAGGCAAAACAGGTCGTGAGGGGGGGCAGAGAGGGGGGTACTTCAGGGAGACACAGCAGTGTGGATTCTACTGAGGAGACGGAGGCCGAGCAGCGCAGCATCTACGAGTGTCTGGAGCTGCAGTGCGAGTGGCCGTCGCCCATTAAGGGAAGCGCCAGTTTAGAGAGAAGCAACGGGGAGAAAAAGGGAGCCGGAGGAATTGCCGGAGCAGGATTAGAAGCGAAACCCGACCCCTGGAGTCAGTCAGGAGACCAAAAGAAAGAGGATAAAGAAGTAGAAGCAAACGACAGGCCCATATTGGTCAGACAGGAAGCTGAATCTCACTGTGAGGCCTCAGACCCGGCCAAGGCCAAGACGTCCCGGGGTAAGAGGCACCAGTCCGGGAGCGTCCACGTCAGCTTCCGGCCCTCCACCGAGTCCGTCCAGTTCCACAACCCCCTGGAGAACAAGGAGGCCCACTGGAGGGCCCGCCTGCGCAGGCTCAGCCACTTCCACACGCACAGCCACTCCGCCGGGGAGAGGACGGCCGGCGGGGGCGGGGCGGGGTCAGGATCAGGGTCTGGGTCAGGGTCAGGATCGGGGGGGAAGCTGGGAACAGGGGCCCCAGGTAAGTTCGGCTCTGTTGGCCACAAAACGGGAGCGCTTGATAAATCCTCTGGGACTTCTCTGGATGGTGGAGCCTCTGGAGGCTCGGAAAGCCGGCCCGGAACCGGAGGGGAAAAGCTCCACTCTGGGGCCGCCATGGGGTCTGGACTAGGTCCCGAGGGCCCCCCGGAGGGGTTCTCCGGTTCCTCGGGTTCCTCCGGTTCCTCGGGCGGGCACTCGGGAGTGCGGGGGCGTTTGGGGCGTTCCGCCTTGCGTTCTCGAGCCTCCCGCTCGCGCTCCCAGGAGCCCGGCAGCACCGCCTCGCGCCACCACCAGGGGGCGCTCCTGGGCGGCGTCTATAAGAGCGTGGTCCACGCCCTGTCCTCCAAACCGCGGCCCAGAGGCCAGGGCTCGTCCCAGGGCTCCTCGCCCCAGCGGCAGGGCCGCGTCGCCATGGGAGACGCCTCGCTCAGGGACCTCTACTCACACGTCCTGGGCTACTTTGGACGAAAGACGACCGCGCCAGGTGAGGATCGCAACCAACCGAGCGCTCATAGAGGACACGAGAGTGGAACGCAAAAATGCTAACCAACACACAAACGCCGGCAGCTCTCCTTTCTTTTTTTTGGCTGTTTTTAACTGTTTTGTTTGGATGGAATGATATATTTTTTTGGCTGAAACTCATCATCTTGCTGCTGGACTGAAACTCAAACTCCTTGTTGATGTCTTTTCTCTTGAACGTAGCCCCTCCTCCAGCCTGCCTCCTGTCAAGGACCCCATCTCCTCCCATACCTTCCCACTTGTTTCTCTAGCTCAGAGGCTCCCTCCCTCCCTCCTCCTCCTCCTGTCCTCTTTCTTCTAAGGGTTTGGGGATTTCACTTCACACCTCCTTCCCCTGTTCTCCACCTTCATCCTCTCCTCAATTTTGCATGCGGCCTCGTCGTGCCTCCTTCGCCTCCTCCCCGGATACTGGCCCATCTCCAGCATCTCAGAAGGAAACCGCATTCTCCAGAGAAGTATCTTGTGTAGATCAGACGTAAGCACCAATAAAAAGGAAACTAAAATGGCCACCCGTCACACCTGTCCGAAAGGTCTCCCACTGTTTATAGGGTTTGTAGGTTCAGAGCTTTGGTTCTTCTAATTTAGTTAGAATGATGGAAACATAAAAAATGTTCTAGTTCATTCTTACACCACTAGATGGCAGCACACGACCTGGTGAGAAAAGCCATCTTGGCCATAGGTATAGACCGAATTTGAAATGATAATAAAGGCTCACTCTCTGGTCTCTGGAATGGTTATTTGCCTTGGACAATACAGGTTTTAACATGAGTTTTATTGTCATCTGTACTGCAGGAAAACCAGCAGAACTGGTGTTTCAGGTTTTCTGTGATTCATCACCTGAATCTGTCTTGATGTGGAGTCTCTGTTGTTGTTCACTTAAATATTAATATTAGTCCATTTTATTTGTTTTTTCTCATGATTATATGTTCAATGTTTCTTTTTTTTTTACTGGCAGCAAGTGTCAGTTGTGTAATTTCATTGATCACTTGTTCACCTTTTTGATATTTCAGCAGCATCCAGAGTTCTTTTAACAAAAAGGTCAAATTTAATGGCTCTTTCAGGGGCTTTAAATTTGGCCAGGCAACGACTAAACCAGGTTTTATGGGCTGTGATTGGTTGTCTGTGTGGCTGTTGAGTTAGTAAATGTCTTTTTTATGGCAAAACGCTTGTTCTGAACACAGCTTGAGGATTTTTTTTTTTAGAGCGTGACCACTTACTCTGTTCCTGGGTAGTCAGCATGCCTTTGCCTTCAGAGTCAGTTTGCACAGCTACATTGAACTAATTTGCTTTCTCCCAGAAGCTTCTTTTACTGACCTGCAGATGAATTTGGAGTGGAAGCAGCTTTTGGATCAGCATGAATGCCTGTCCTGACGTATTTCCTTGTTTTTACCAGCCCTTAACTCAGAACTTTGAGTCCGTCCATCATCTCGATTGTTGTTTCCTTAACAATGCAGCACTTCTGGCTCAGTCTTTGTCCTGAGTGTCTTCTGTTGCCAGGCTGCTATTGTAGATGTTTTGCTGAGTTACAGCTACTTTCTCTTTGTGTTGGCCCAGATATTCGCAGTAAACAGGGTTAGGGATGGAGGGAAGTTAGGTCTGTGAAGGCACGAGGTTTGGGGACAGTATTCGGAAACTTGTCAGACACAATGATGCTGCTGAGAAACTGACCTTTTTCTTGGTTTATTTTTGTTTTGTTCACATTTGTTTTGGTGATTTGAGGGCAAATAACCATTACAGTGTAACCATTTCACAAATAAACTACTGGATCCTCAATATTTAAACATCTTTAACTCAGGATGAGAGTTAACAAGAAGAAGATGGTTCACTTGATAATAGGAGGTTTCTGTTAGTTAAAGAGAGAAAACTGGTTTGCAGTGTCCTGTTAGACCTCAGTTTGGTTACAGATTTGGTCAGAAATGACTGATGTGATGTAATGATCTAGTCTTTTTCTTTGATGAGAAGTTATTGGGGGGCTGCAGAGTAGATCGCCTCATTTGTTTTCATTGGTTAAAACCTTTTACTGAGCAGAGTATTTGCGGGTGTTTAGGTGGAGGCACCCATACTGTCCTCTGGCCAGACGCAGATTCCCTCCAGATGACTTTAGATCCATACATGCCTGTTTTATTTTCGCTGTCACTCTTTGTAAAGTCCGACTGGCGTTGCATCCAAGCTAACAACATCATGATACGTAGAAACACAGCAGCACTAATATAGACCTCATCCTCCTCTCCTCTCTGTGCATGATGTGGTTTAACTCCTGCATTCCTGTCCTGGTGGGCTTGGATGTACCTGCTTTTTGTGGCTTTTTAAAAAAAATACTTTTGAGTAACCTGAATGCCGACAGTACATTCACATCAAGACTCTTCTTACACAGTCAATAGAAATGTCATCAGTTTGAATCTGTTTTGTGGATTCGCTTAGCCTTTAATTATGAACGAGCAGCTGTAAATTTTAGGCTGAATATGATGGAGTTTAGCATAAATGAGTTTCCACTTATCCTCACGTTTTTCTGTAGTTTTGCTGGATGTCGTTTGCAGCCTCTGTTAGTGTCTGAACCTGAATGTCAGCTCGTTTATCTTCATGTTCACCATTAAGAGGCGTCTTTACGCTCACATTCAGCTGTCAAAATCCATTTACGTCTCAGTGTGTTTGTTTGTTTGTAGCCAACAAGGAGGAAGTGGTCCAGAAGGCCCGGCCTGTGTCCAGCGATGTGGGCAGCAGCAATCCCAACTTCCCCGACCTCATGGATGAGTTCATCCAGGAGAGGCTGAGGGCCAAAGGGACCGGGGTC